CCCCGTATTGTGTATTTTGTTTTTGTGTTTTGTTTGCTCTGTATAAAACCTTGAATAAAAAAAACACAAAATTATTTTAGTGATGATTATTGTTTATTAATTATTACTATTATTTGACAAAAGATGCATGTGAAAGTACATATACCTAATTGCTATGATCTACATGGAATCCATAGTAATGAAAAACACTATCATTCACCCAACTAGACACCTGTGTCTGAACTGAACAACATATCCCATAATGTACTTCACACACACACACACACACACACACCCACCAGTTCCAGGTGATCCCTGATTACACACACACAGCTGAAGCTCGTCAAGTGATTACCGGCAGTATAAACACACCATACACACACACTTCTTTGCTGAGTCTTGCTATCTGTAAGAGTGTATTTTTAATTGTTTTCATTGTCTTGCCTTCCATGTTATTTAACCCTGGATTTGTTTACCGTTTTTGTTGTTTTGCCGCCTTTTCGCCTGCTACACAATCCACTCCTTACCTGCTCCTGTCAATCTGCTCCTCTATGTCCCTGACTGAACTTACTGCTTGTACGTCCTTCTTAATTAACTCCATTTGGATCCTCTCCTCTGTTGCCACCTGACTCATTACACTGATGAATGTAATTTGCATATGATTTAAATAAACATGCACAAAAATGCTGATTAATGCCTATTGATCTGTGTGTGTGTGTCTGTGTTTGGTATTTTTAGGTTTGGGAGAGGTGTGGGGTCAAGCGGGGCGAACCAGATCTGGAGAAAACCCATCCCATGAGCTCGGATCTCATTTACTCCAGGTAATAATCAGCAAGATGCTCCAGGTAATATGAAGACTTTATTACTATCTTTGCCATTGGCTTCTTTAACATGTACTGTGTATAGCAGGAAATAAGGTTTCATTTACAGTCAAGCCTGAAATTATGGATGCCCCTAGCAAATTCTGACTTAAAGTTCTTATATTCAGCTAGCGAGTTTGCTTTTTTATAGCATAACTGTGGAAAATATACAGATTTCTCAGCTTTTATTTGCACTTAACTAAAAGTCAGAATTTGCCAGGGGTGTGAATGTATGTGTAAATAATACATTATAAAACTAGCAAATACAGGTCAAATTATTCACCCTCCTGCAAATTATTTTCATTTTCTAATAATAATACAAGTCATTTATAAATTATATGTACTGTTTCTTTGTGCAAAACAGGAGTATTAACATTGTATTTTTTATTGTAATCAAATAACATTGTTTTTTAGCAAAACTCACATGCAAAAATACTAAATTTTATGGCAAACACTATAGTGTATTTGAACCCCACTATAGTCAAATCTATTATATTGTAGTGTTTTATACTGTATTATAGTATTCTCTTTGAATAGTTATACTTCTTTTACTCAACCAGCTAGTTTGTTTGTTTTTTGACCGGAAATGATACAGGCTTCTGTCAAAAAATAATAAGACCATGCACAAGAGGCATCATTGTGGGAAAAATATATATTTCTCTGCTTTTATTTACACTTAACAAAAAGTTAAAATTTGCCAGGGGTGGGAATGTACATATAAATACATTATAAAACTGCTATGAAATAGCATAGTTCCTCCTGAGGTGGGTGAATAATGTTTATTTTTTATAATTATTTTTATTTTCTATTATTTCCCAAATGATGTTGAACAGATTCAGGAATTGTTCACAGTATGTCCTCTAATATTTGTTCTTCTGGAGAAAGTCTGATTTGTTTTATTTCAGCTAGAATAAAAGCAGTTTCTAATTGTTTTAAACACATTTTAAGGTCAATATTGTTAGCCCCCTTAAACAATATTTGTTTTAGATTGTCTCCAGAACAAACCACTGTTATACAATGACTTGCCTAATTACCCTAACTTTACCCTAATTACCCTAGTGAAGCCTTTACATGTCACTTTAAGCTGAATACTAGTGTCTTGAAGAATATCTAGTCAAATATTATGTGCTGTCATCATAACAAAGATCATTTAATTTTATAAAACAACATATTTATTTACGTGCACACCACCTTCAAAGTAATCCCTGTACATTTATAATCCATAAACGTCTAAATATAAACTTAGTCATATGATAACAAATGGCCAAAATTGTGATGAATAATTCAATATTATAATGCAAATATTGTAAATTTAACTTTAGAGATTGCTAATAAATATCTCAATTTGACAACATTTCACAGCATATTAAATGCACATCACTTTTAGAGTAATCACTGTACATTTTAATACTTAAAAGACTAAAAATTAACTTAATCATGTTGGTAAATGACAAAACAATTACCAATTTGTGAGTCCTGTCATAATATTCTAATGCATATACTGTTATATTTCAGGGTTAACTGAGAGATTACTAATAAATGTCACAATTACACAATTTACTTTTTATAATACAACATGTTTATTTGCATACACGTCACACACAGAGTAATCCCCAAACAATGGTAAAACTTAAAAGACTAAGTATGAACTTATTAAATTGCTAGCCCTCTTGTTAATTATTATTTTCTTTGTCAAATATTTCCCAAATGATGTTGAACAGATTCAGGAATTGTTCACAGTATTCCCCCATATATTTTTTCTTCTGGAGAAAGTCTGATTTGTTTTATTTACTAGAATAAAAGCAGTTTCTAATTGTTTTAAACCCATTTTAAGGCCAATATTATTACTTAAACAATATTTGTTTTGCATTGTCTCCAGAACAAACCACTGTCATACAATGACTTGCCTACTTACCCTAACTACCCTAGTGAAGCCTTTAAATGTCACTTTAAGCTGTATAGAAGTCTCTTGAAGAATATCTAGTCTAATATGTGCTGTCATCATGGCAAATATTAAAGAAATCAGTTATTAGAAATGAGTTAATAACACTGTTGTGATTAGAAATGCTTTGAATAAAACAAAATTCTCTGTTAAACAGAAATTGGGGGGAAAATATAAATAACATTAAATTTAACAGGAGTGTGAATAAATCTGAACTTAGCTGTGTGTGATGGGAGCATTCAGCATCTTCTAGATCAGGGGTGCCCAAACTTGGTCCTGGAGGGCCGGTGTCCTGCACGTTTTAGTTCCAACCCCAATTAAACACACCTGAAGCAGCTAATCAAGCTCTTTCTAGCTGTACAAAAACTTTCAGGCAGGTGTGTTGAAGGAAGTTGGAGCTAAACTATGCAGGTCACCGGCCCTTCAGGACTGAATTTGGGCACCCCTGTTCTAGATGTATTTAGAGACATTTTGTCTTGAACTTTAAAGTCACCCACTATACCTGTTTCTGACTGTGTCCGGCTCCTGGATCATACGTCATGGTTCACTGGTAAGGATTTTTTCAGGCCAGTGGTTCCGACTTTTACTTTTGGCCTTGCCAACATTTTCACTTGCCCCACCAAAAAAAGTGGTTAATAACAATTTCTTTGCCACATTTTAAATAATGTGTCAAAAGCCAAACATAACCGTAGCATAACTGTTCTTTAAATACAACTGAAAATTATAAAAATACAGCACTGATGTAAATAAATGTTAGAATTAAATTACAGAGAAAAAACGGATGAACTGAGACTCCAGTCGCATCATGAAGCAGATCAATGTTGATCTTTCTTTGGAGCTGTCAGTGCAGAAAGGACCAAAACAACAGGCCTAACACACACAAATAAATAAATAAATAAATGACTAATGTTTTGCCTCTTACACTTTACATACCTGAAACTTGCCTATAGCACTTCTTCATTGTTGCTCTTATAGTTGTGTAAATTGCTTCCTTGTCCTCATTTGTAAGTCGCTTTGGATAAAGGCGTCTGCTAAATGACTAAATGTAAATGTAAAATATTACAAGATTATAAGAAAATGATCAGATGGTAATTTCTGTCAACTGTATAACGGATAAACAGCTCTCGCTAATATTTCAGCATGCTTTCACTTTCGTATTAGACATGAGACGCACGTTTGCTGGTAGGAATGACCTCCCACCCTACTCATAATTCTCTCTTTATAGACATATATGTGTGGCTATAACACAGCAATAATACACTGTGATATAGCCTGCTTCGTTAGTTCATTGGATCGCTTTGCTTTCTCATTACGATCGATGTCAGACTGATTGTTTTAGCACAGATCTGAGCGTGGTTGCAGGATTCACATATACCAAATGAAGCACTGGGCAAACAAGACAGGTTCCAAAACAAATGTCTGGGTGTGAAAGCTCCCCGTTTGCACGCAATTGACAGTCTCAGCCAAATTAAACTTTAGTGACAAGGCAGGATATGCCCAATTGGGGTTGTGTATGGGCCCTTGAAAATGTCTCTGGGGCCCCCCTAATTGTATGCCCACCCCTAACAGCGCCCCTGGTTATAGTACAGATTGTGTGTCTCTCTTCATTCTGGTCAACTCTGATACATCAGTGATAAAAAAAAACACACTGACAGAAAAAGCATGTGTCATGCTTCAAGTGATGTCACTTCTTGTGGCGGGAAACTCTGAAAGGCATTAAGGCAGGGATGTCCAGACTCGGTCGTGGAGGGCTGGTGTCCTGCAAAGTTTAGTTCCAACCCCAATCAGACACCGCTGGCCTAGCTAATCAAGCTCTTGCTAGGCTTTCTAGAAACATCCTTGCAGGTTTGTTGAAGCAAGTTGGAGCTAAAATCTGCAGGACACCAGCCCTCCAGGACCGAGTTTGGACACCCCTGCATTAAGGCATTGTTATTGTTCTCATTAATTTGTGCAAAGGATTTAGGATAGTAGATTAATTATGTGTAGACTCTGTTACTGTTACTTCCTTTTGTAAATGCTACCTCCTGTTGACCCGCCTCACCCTGAAATGTGATGTTTGTATATGGTCGGGGGGGTCCAATTTCACTACATAACAGTGTATTTGACTACATGGAGGAGTATGTGACTAATAAAGGCCATTGATTGATTGATTGATTGATTGATTGATTGGTAATATTTCAGTCAATTCACTTTTTAAATGCAATATTATGATGAAAATGCATTTAATAGTACTTTAGACTCGCCATGTGGAGTCTGGTTTGAAGTTAGCATCTTGTGCTTGATCACATTGTGGAAAATGTCCACTCTGTTACTGGTTTAAAAAGTTTAACAATAACAAATTAATAAGTTTAAGGTAAACAATAATTAGGAACGTAACCAAATGTTTCCTGTTGATATTATGCATTTTGCATTATTTTGGATTAATATTGGGTTTAATTTACTGTAGCGGGTGGCGCAGTGGTTAGCACTGTGGCCTCACAGCAAGAAGGTCACTGGTTTGAGTCCCGACTTAGCCAGTTGGCATTTCTGTGTGGAGTTTGCATGTTCTTCCCGTGTTGGTGTGGATTTCCTCCGGATGTTCTGGTTTCTCCCACAGTCCAAACACATGCGCTATAGGGGAATTGATCAACTAAATTGGCCGTAGTGTATAAGAGTGAATGAGTGTGTATGGGTGTTTACCAGTGTCTGGAAGGGCATCCGCTGCGTAAAACATATGCTGGAATAGTTGGCGGTTCATTCCGCTGTGGCGACCAGTAATAAATAAGGGACTAATCTGAAGGAGAGTGAATAAATGAATATTCTGCAGCTTAATTTCGCATGTGTTGTAGATCATTTAAATTAAGTGAAAATGAAATGCTTCAAATGTATCCACAAATCTGCAATGACTCTAACTATTTCTCAGTGTTTCTCTGCAGATTGTGAGTTGATGTGTTTCTGTGGTGACCTGTCTGATATTGTCCTCGATCCACAGACTTTAGACGGGTTTATATTTGTAGTGGCTGCGGATGGGAAGATCATGTACATCTCTGAGACGGCGTCGGTTCATCTGGGCCTTTCACAGGTGAAGAACATGCGGTGTTCATGTCTACACTGTTCTGTACATGTTCAATCTGCGCCGGGAGATTTACAGACGTCCTTTCACACAGGTAGAATTGACCGGAAACAGTATTTATGAATACGTTCATCCGGCGGATCATGACGAGATGGCGGCGGTGCTGACTCCACAACCTTCATATCATTCACACTTCGTCCAGGGTGAGTCACTTTATAGAAAACAGCATATTTGTTTGCATGCACATCGCTTTCAGAGTAATCCTCGAACATTTATGATGCCTAAAAGACTAAATATCATCTTAATCATGTGTGTACATGACAAAAAAATGCCCATATTATGATGCATATCACAATATTCTAATGCATTTATTGTAATATTTTAATTTTCGCTTTAGAGATTGCTAATGCATATCACAATTAGACAATTTACCTTATGTAAATCAGCATATTTGCATGCACATCGCTTTTAGAGTAATCCCTAAACATTTATAATGCTTAAAACACTAAATATGAACTTAGTCATATGATAAAGAATAGCCAATATGTGATGAATAACACAATATTCTATTGCATATGCTGTAATATTTCAATTTTACCTGAGAGATTGCTAATACACATTACAATTAAACTATTTACTTTATGTAAATCAGCATATTTACATGCATATGGCGTTTAGAGTAATCCCTATATATTTACTAAATATAGGCTTAATCATGTGTGTACATGACAAAAGTATGGCCAGTGAGTAGTATCACAATATTCTAATGCATTTACACTGTAATACCCTAATTTCCACTTTAGAGACTGCTAATAAATCTCACAAATGTCATGAAGATAAATGACATTAAATTAAATTATGAAATGAAATGTAAAGAAATTAAATTCTTAAAAACATGTAAATAAATAGATTAAATAAATGTAAAAAAGTATTATTATTATTATTATTATTATTATTATTATTATCTTTATTAATTAATTAATTAATTAATTGAATAAATGTATTTATTTTAATGCATTTAGCTTAATTTTGTAGTTTTACATATTATATATATTTTAAAATGAAACCAAAATATAATTTTATAATTTTTATAATTTTATAAAATTGTATTTTAATATACATGTGATATAAATATTTTTATATAAAGATTTAATGTTAAAAATATATAAAACAAATCAAAATATAAAAACAAATGCACTAAATTGACTGAGAACCTGCAAATTTTGTTAATTAAATATTATTAAATAATATAAAATCAGATAAAGGAAATTGTGTTTTAATATATGTGTATTATATAATATATTCTTGAATAACAAATAAATAAAATATAAAAACTAATTCAGTTAATTAAGACAAAAAAATTGAAAAATGGGATTAAATCACAATATAAAAAAGTCATATAAATATTTCCCCTCAAAGATTTAATAAAATAAAAGTGAAATCTTTTATGCAGAAAGTTTTTTTTATTGTGTATAAGCCCTTATTTTGGTATATTTCAGAGTACGAGGTGGAGCGATCGTTTTTCCTGAGGATGAAGTGTGTTTTGGCGAAGCGAAACGCCGGACTGACGAGTGGAGGATATAAGGTGAAGCTCAGATCAGCAGCTCTTACTGTGTATGTGTGATGATTATCAGTGAATGACAGTAATGCTGACCTCTGACCTGCAGGTGATCCACTGCAGCGGGTACCTGAAGATCCGCCAGTTCAGTCTGGATGCGTCTCCGTTCGATGGCTGCTATCAGAACGTGGGTCTGGTGGCCGTCGGACACACACTCCCACCGAGCGCCGTCACAGAGATCAAACTACACAGCAACATGTTCATGTTTCGAGCCAGTCTGGACATGAAGCTCATCTTCCTGGACTCACGGTGAACCACAGAACATACACACTTCATTTAGGCCACACCTACACAGAGCACTTGGGCCACATCCACACTGAGCATTTTGGCCACACCCAGACAGAGCGTTTGGGCCACACCCACATAGAGCATTTACACCAGTGGTCACCAAACTTGTTCCTGGAGGTCCGGTTTCCTGCAGATTTTAGCCCCTACCCTAATCAAACACACCTGAACAAGCTAATCAAGGTCTTACTAGGTATACTTGAAACATCCAGGCAGGTGTGTTGAGGCAAGCTGGAGTTAAACCCTGCAGGGACACCGGCCCTCCAGGACCAAGATTGGTGACCCCTGATTTAAACCACACCCACTCTGAGCATTTAGACCACACCCACACTGAGCCTTTAGGCCACACCCTAACTGAGCATTTAGAACACGCCAAGCATTTACACCACACCCACACTGAGGATTTAGGCTCACGCCAATCATTTAGGCCACACCCACAGCACATCTAGGCCACACAACACATCTAGGCCACGCCCACACAGCATATTTAGGTCACATTTTAACAGAGCATTTAGGCCATACCTAAACAACATATTTAGACCACACACAGTGCATTTAAACCACAGTGACACAACAAATTTAGGTCACACCCACACAACATATATAGACCACGCCCATTTCACATGTAGGCCATGCCCACACATCACATTCAAACCACACCTACACAACACATTTAGGCCACACCCACAGCACATTTAAATAACACCCAAATCACATTTAGGCCACACCCACACTGGGAGGCCAATGCAATCTTCTCCTTTGACTTTCTATTATGGGAAGCTGCCTTGTCATTTCTAAACAATGTCTAAAAGCTGCTGTATGGTGTACTGAAAACGAGCTACAAAAATAAACTAGTTCTTATAAGTTATCTGTCACCTGTTTTCATTTTATTTGGTTTATTATATGGCTTTAATTTTTATGTATTTTTTTTCCTATAAGGGTGTCAGATCTGACCGGGTATGAGCCACAGGACCTGATTGAGAAGACCCTGTATCATCACGTGCACTGCTGTGACAGTTTTCACCTGCGCTGCGCTCATCACCTCTGTGAGTCCCGCTAAACCTCACAGCATAGAGAAAGCAAGATTTACAGCTGAAGTCAGAATTATTAGCCCCCCTTTGAAATGTTAATTATTTTTAAAATATTTCCCAAATGATGTTTAACAGAGCAGGGAAAGTTTCACAGTATTTCCTCTAATATTTTTTCTTCTGGTGAAAGTCTTTTTTCTTTTATTTGGGCTAGAATAAAAGCAGTTTTTAATTTTTTAAAAAACTTTTTAAGGTCAATATTATTAGCCCCTTTAAGCTTTATATTTTTTCAATAGTCTACAGAACAAACCATCGCTATACAATAACTTGCCTAATTACCCTGACCTGCCTAGTTACCCTAATTAACCTAGTTAAGCCTTTAAAAGTCACTTTAAACTGTATAGAAGTGTCTTGCAGAATATCTAGTCTAATATTATGTGCAGTCATCATGAAAAAGAGAAAATAAATCAGTTATTAGAGATGAGTTATTAACTATTATGATTAGAAATGTGTTAAAGAAATCTGCTCTCTGTTAAACAGAAATTGGGGAAAAAATAAACAGGGGGGCGAATAATTCTGACTTCAACTGTGGATGAAAAATGGGTGGTGTATATGGAAGTATTACGTAATTTTATTTATTTTTGTTTATCGTGTGTGTGTGTGTGTGTGTGTGTGTGTGTGTGTGTGTGTATATATATATATATATATATATATATATATATATATATATATATATATATATATATATATATTTATATATTTATTTATTTATTTATTTATTTATTGTTTGTTTATTTTTTTGCCTTATTTAATTTAAGACTACACTGCAAAAAAAGCTTTTCTTACTTTCATTTTTTTGTCTTGTTTCCAGTCCAAATATCTAAAAAAATCTTAAATCAAGAAGAATTTTCTAGACAAGCAAAACATATTGTCTTGTTTTCAGAAATAACATGCCAAAATTAAGTGAATTTTTCCTTAAAAACAAGCAAAATAATCTAGTTTTTCCTTTTGACATAAGCTTATTTTGCTGACCCCACTGGCAGATTATTTTGCTTGCATTCAGGTTAAAGTGACATGTAAAGCCTTAACTGTGTTAATTAGGGTAAAGTTAGGGTAATTAGGCAAGTCGTTGTATAACAGTGGTTTGTTCTGGAGACAATCCAACACTAATATTGCTTAAAGGGGTAACAATATTGACTTTAAAATGTGTTTAAAACAATTAAAAACTTCTTTTGTTAGAGCCGAAATAAAATCAATAAGACTTTCTCCAGAAGAACAAATATTAGAGGAAACACTGTGAAAAATTCCTGAATCTGTTCAACACCATTTAGGAAATATTTGATAAAGGAAATTCACAGGAGGGCGAATAATTTTGACTTCAACTGCATATATAAAGATATGAATGTATACAGTTATAAAAAGTATGTATGAATATAGAATTACAGAAATGTGCATTAAAGGACATATTTATAGTGACATTAGATAAATGTTGATTTTGATATGTATGTGTGTGTGTGTGTGTGTGTGTGTGTGTGTGTGTGTGTGTGTGTGTGTGTGTGTGTGTGTGTGTGTGTGTGTGTGTGTGTGTGTGTGTGTGTGTGCTCGCTTTCAGTGCTGGTCAAAGGTCAGGTGACCACTAAGTATTACCGCTTCCTGTCAAAGCGAGGTGGCTGGGTTTGGGTGCAGAGCTACGCCACAATCGTCCACAACAGCCGCTCGTCTCGACCGCACTGCATCGTCAGCGTCAACTACGTCCTCACGTGAGTTAAACAATAATTAACAAACATACATAAGTGACAGAATTATTAGAACAGCCAACTAATACAGCATACATTCTATGCAGCCGATGTCCTTCTAGCCACAACCTAGTGCTGGGAAACACCCAAACACACTCATTCACACACACACACACACACACTCTCATACACTACAGCTAATTTAGATAATCAGTTCCGTGCAAACACGCGGAGAACATGCAAACTCCACACAGAAATACCAACTGGTCCAGCCGGGACTTAAACCGGTGACCTTCTTGCTGTGTGGCCACAGTCCAAAAGTACATAAGCCATCATGCCGCCCAAAAGTATTTATGCTGTATATTAAAAGTATTCATTCATTCATTTTCTTGTCGGCTTAGTCCCTTTATTAATACGATGTCGCCACAGCAGAATGAAACGGCATCTTATCCAGCACATTTTCACTCAACGGATGCCCTTCCAGCCGCAACCCATCACTGGGAAACATCCACACACACACACACACACACACACACACACACACACACACACACACTACGGACAATTTAGCCTACCCAATTCACCTGTACCACATGTCTTTGGACTGTGGGGGAAACCGGAGCACCTGGAGGAAACCCACGTGAACGCAGGGAGAACATGCAAACTCCACACAGAAACGCCAACTGAGCCAACCGGGACTCGAACCAGCAACCTTCTTGCTGTGAGGCGACAGCACTACCTACTGCGCCACTGCATCACCTTCTAAAAGTATATGAATAACAAAATATGTAAAGCTGCAGATTTGTGTGTGTGTGTGTGTGTGTGTTACAGTGTTGATGTTTTTGCTGAACTCTTTAAGTCAGCTATTATTATGTGCAGTCATACTGAGGTGGACTGATAAAAGCTCTCAGTGCTGTCAGGAATGATAAAGAAACACAGTGTACAGTTCTCAGCTGATAAGAGCAGAGTAAGGGCTGTTTGCCGTCTGTCTGAGTTCAGCAGTTCAGGAGGTCAGAGGTCACGAGCGCTCAAACACAGGTGTGAAATCAGTGTTTCGCAAGAGAAGCGGTCATAACCCTCTCTCTTATACAGTATGTTTACAGTAATGTGTGTGTGTGTGTGTTTGCAGGGACACGGAGTATAAGGGCCTGATTCTGTCTCTGGATCAGCTGAATCCCAGAAAACCAGCCTTTCCCTACGCAAACCACAGCGATAAAACACACACGACCAACAGCAGGAGTAAAATCCTGCTCTCTCACTACTCACAGGTAATACACACACACACACACACACACACACAGACTGACGGACACACACACAGTGTGATAGAAACATCTACAAACCGACATACATGCACACACACTGACTAACAGACACACAGAGAGACTGACACACATGGAAAGAATGACACACACAGACTGACTGACACAAACACACACACAGACCAAGGCTGACAGACACGCACACACACATACAGTCTGACATAAACACACTTAGAGACTGACACACACACACACACCAAGGCTGACAGACACACACACACACACACACACGCATACAGTCTGACACACACACTCTTAGAGACTGACACACGGACTGACAGACACATAGAGACTAAGACACACACACACAGATACTGACACCCACACAGACTTGCACACTCACTGAGACTGACAGACACACACACACACACACACACACAAACACACACACACACACACACACATGGAAAGAATGACACACATGCACAGACACACAGACTGACTGACACACACACACACCAAAGCTGACAGACACGGACACACACATACAGTCTGACACACACACACACGCCTAAAGACTGACACACTCACAGACTGACAGACACACACAGAGGCTAAGACACACACACACACACACACACAGACTGACAGATGCACATGGAGACAAAGACACACACACAACAGACACACACACACACACACAGAGAGCTTGAGAGAAACACACTCGCAGACAGACTGAAAGACATACAGAGACTGACACACACACACACACACCCATACAGAGCCTTACTCACACAGAAACTAAGACACACACACAAACATATAGAGACTGACACACACATGCTCACATCCATACAGAGACTGACAGAACCAGAGACTAAGACACAAACATACAAAGACTGACACACACCCACACACACACACACATCTATACAGAAACTTACACATACAGAGAGACTGACAGATACACACAAACACACAGACACACACACAGAGAGAGAGAGGGAGAGATACTGAGTTCAGCTTTAGCAAGTAGTCATGTTTAATCAGAATACAGTTCACACACACACACACACACACACACTCACACTTAAATTAAAGGTGTGTTTGTAGTTTGCTAGTTAACTCGTTGATCTCCTTCAGAGCGTTAACCCTCAGCATTGTTCGTGAGTGTATTGTTCTTCTGATGTTCCTCCTGTCCCGTGTTCAGCAGTTTTCCTCCTTCCCGCCGGATCGCTCAGACTCGGATCACGACAGCCAATGGGAGGACAGTCCTCTGACAGACTCCGCCTCCCCGCAGCGTCTGGACCGCAGCGATTCGGTGTGCTTCAGCCTCGCTCAGAGCGACGTGATGCAGTCGTGTTCACAAACACACACACCTCTGTTCAACAGAGACGGCTGGTGGGACGCACGCGCCGCAAACCAGCACTCGCACGGTCAGTACACACACACACACACACAAACACACAAACACCAGCAGTGATTCCTCAGCATTCACAGATGAGCGAAGGGTGTTCTGTTTAAAACAGAATCTTATGATAATCTACTGTAGTGCTGCTCGATATTGATAAACTGATAATAATATATACAATAGTCATGAATTAAAGACGATCTATTATGCAAAAATCAAGTTTATAAGGGGTTTAAACACAGTTGTGTGTCAGCAGTGTGTGAATATCTCCAGCCTCTAATGGTAAACATGAATTAACTCTGTTTGTTATAGTCAGACTTGATGAAAACAGTCTGCAGAAACACTTTGATTGACATTCTGCCTTTGTACGTGTCGTCAGAGGGGGAAAGCCCCGCCCACTAGTAACAGTCTCTCCCTCATTAGCATAAACAGCAGCCCTGAGTGAGAAGCAGCCGTCTGTCCATTGGCCATTAGAGTGTTTGAGCTGCTGAAGATGATGTCAGCCTAGACTAAGAGGATTATAGATGTGGAGTTTTAGATTATGGGTGGCTCAGTGGTTAGCACTGTGGCCTCACAGCAAGAAGGTCACTGGTTTGAGTCCTGGCTGGGTCCGTTGGTGTTTCTGTGTGGAGTTTGCATGTTCTCCCTGTGTTGGCGTGAACTAAATTGGCCGTAGTGTATGAGTGTGTGTGTAAATGAGCGTTTATGGGTGTTTCCCAGTACTGGGTTGCAGCTAGAAGGGCATCCGCTGTGTAAAACATATGCTGGAATAGTTGACGATTCATTCCCCTGTGGCGACCTCTGATGAATAAAGGGAATAAGCCAAATAAATGAGTTTTAGGGATTCACCATAGTCCTGTTTAGAATCTGCTGCTAGGCTGACACACAGGCATTGGTAGCTCCGCCCTCTTTTGAAATAAGCACAATCTTATTTGAATTTAAAGCGACAGTCACCAAAACAGCACAACTTGGCTCAAATCTGCTGCTTTCCTCCTTTACCAGGCGGAGCTCTTGAGAACTACCTGATCTCGTACCCCCTTACATGCTTATCGATCAGGCTCATTTATCTGGGAGCTCAGGGTTGTCTCCTGGGACAGCATGCCAAACCTGCTAATATTATCAAGCAATATCTAAGTGTGAACTCTTGAAACGCTGAAACGCATAAATAATTTTTTCTTGTTTGTTTGTTTTGTTTGTTTCATAAATATGTGCGTGCTGAAACTGGCTGAGGCACAATTAAGAAGTTTTGTGTTCATATTTATACATTCACATTAATTTGCACACAATTTCAGCCTGTTATCTGCAGATTAGAGCGTGCATTAAGTAATTGACTGCGATTAAAGCTGTTAATGCATCAATTGTTCACCTGAAAAACATGTTTAAATATAAATTTGACAATTACTTTATGCAGAGAACCATTTAGTTCACCAGTTTACACAAATTAGCCATCAGTTATCTGTTGGCGTTTCTGTGCGGAGTCTGCATGTTCTCCCCGTGTCTCTCTGCATCTCCTCCGGGTGCTCCGGTTTCACCCACAGTCCAAACACATGCGCTATAGGGGAATTGATGAACTTAACTGGCCGTAGTGTATAAGTGTGTGTGTGAATAAGGGTTTCCCTGTACGTGCTTTCTGCTGGCATCTGTTGCGGTAAACATATGCTGGAATAGTTGGCGGTTCATTCCACTGTGGCAACCCCTGATGAATCAGAGACTAAGCTGAAGAAAAATGAATGGATGAACCATCAGCCGTCTGTCAGAAGATAGAAAGTGCCAGTGAATGTCACACGTGATGATGTTTTCTGGTTTTCTGTCTCCTCAGCGGTGTGGGATGAGGATCTGAGCTCTTCTTCAGCTCAGTCTGCAGACGGTGCTCAGAGTCTGATCAGAGCCGCGCCGGAGCTCATTAAGGTGGAGGAGGCTCACATGCGGGATTATTCCTCCTCCTCTCTGTTCTCCTCCGCCCGCCACAGAGATGGAGATCCGGACGGCAGCCCCGCGTCTCTGTCGGCCCTCAGCAGCCCCGGCTCCGACAGGCCGTCCCAGCCGCTGTCAGCCTCTCCGCCCGCGCTGGAGACCACACACACACACCCCAGCCTGCGCGCGTATTCTGCACACTACGACATCAACACACACTTCCAGAGCAGCACAACGGCACACAACGGCACGTCTGTCATCATCACCAACGGCAGCTGACGGAGAAACACTCGCGCTTTCATCCAGACACATCTGAAAACACTGGCGTCATGCAGCGCTAAACTCATGTTCTGTGTGTGCAGGAAGTTAATCAAAATATTGAGGCAGAGACCAGGCGTAATGTGTTCTGACACAATGATTTCATTAGCAGAAGATCCCAACATTTGTTTGCAAGAGCCTTTTAGTAGCTACATAGCAACACCTTAGCAACAAGACCCAGAGAGTTACTCAGAACACTTAAATAAATGCATCGCAACACCATAGCAACCATTTTAAAACATCCAATCAGTAACCCAGTAAACTTACCTAACTGGCCTTAACAGTGAGAACATTTTAGTAACTGCATAGCAATACACTAGCAACCACCAATACTACCCTAGCAACAAGACACAGGGAGTTGCTCAGAACGCTTAAATAACTTCATAGCAACACCTTAGCAACCATTTATTAACATCCAAGCAGTAACCAGGGAAACTTTTATGACTACCAACCACTATCACCACACTAGCAGCCATAAAGTATGGCCTAAACAGTAAGAACATGCATAACAACACCCTAGCAACCACCAATATCACCCTAGCAATGAGACAGGAAGTTGCTCAGAACATACTGCAACAGTGCTAACCAACTATCGACACCACCCTAGCAACAAAACCCAGGGAGATACCCAGAAAACTTTAATAACTGCGTACCAACACCCTAGAAACAACCCTAGCAACAAGACCTAGGGAATAAACCAGAATACTTGGGTAACTGCATAGCAACACCCTAGCAGCCACCAACACCACCCTAGCAACAAAAACCAGAGATATATTCAGAACACTTTAGTAGCTACATAGCAACACCCTAGAAACAAGACCCAGGGAGTAACCCAGAACACTTAAATAACTGCATAGCAACATCCTACAACCATTGAGCAACATCCAAGCAGTAACCCAGGAAACTTTCATGACTACCAAACATGAAACCACATAGGAACACCCTAGCAACCACCAATACCACCCTAGTAACAAGACCCAGGGAGATGTTCAGAACATTTTAGGAACTGTGTAGCAACACCCTATCAACCACCAACACCACCCCTAGCAACAAGACCCAGGGAGTATCCCAGAACACTTAAATATCTGTATAGCCACACCCTAGCAACTACCAACAGCATCCTAGCAACAAAACCCAGGGAGTAAACTCGAACACTTTGGTAACTGCAAAGCAACACCCTAACAACCACCAACACCCCTCCTAGCAACAAGACCCAGGGAGTAACCCAGAACACTTTAGTGACTACATAGGAACACCCTAGCAACCACCAACACCACCCTAGCAACAAGACCCAGGGAGATATTCAGTGCGTGTTAGTAACTGCGCAGCAACACCCTAGAAACCACCATCCCCTCCATAGTAACAAGACACAGGAAATAACCCAGAACACTTACTTAAATACCTGCATAGCAACACCCTAGCAACCACCAACACCACAAAAGCAAGCATATAGCAAGACTTGAGCTATTCACAGCAGTTAATAGCAGGATCTTGGTTCTGAGTGGCAGACGCACACACAGGGAGGGTGTTTTTACTGATGTGTCTGGGTTGATGCAGATAAAGCTTCGGCTGGAGAAGAACTGATGCAGTTACTTTAATGTAAATGAAGGATTATTTCACCGCTCTCATGTTTTGTGAAGATCATATCTCAACAGAGGACAGGAGATATGATATTTAGCATGGTTATTTTCTTGTCAATGAAGATATTTCCACCCTGGTTCTGATTATTTATTTTGATGCAAATCCTTTAGATCAGTGGTTCTCAAACTTTTTTTCATCAAGCACCACCTCAGAAAGAAATGGTCTCTCCGAGTACCCCCATAATGAGCAGTACTGAAATACAGCAGCGCAGTAAACCCAGCAGCTACAGCTCTGCACAGTTCAAAACCGTGGCAGATTAATTCCTATTATTAACAAAATGCAATGATGTGAGCTAATTTAAACATATTCTGAACATTAACAATGTAGTGTGCTTATATGTGATAAAAACTAACAAACGAAAAAACTAAAAATGTCAACATTTAAATTAAAATGTGCTTTTAAAAGTTATAAATGAAATGTTACTGTCCTTAAAGTAAAAAGAAAAGTGCTGTAATTAAATGTAAAGTATTAACATATATAGCCAATTCATCAACATCTGGAAATGTTGCCTGGACCTCAGAAACAGGCTATTTGTCATTTAATGAATATTATTATATGTCATATGCATATATAAATCATTTTTGATTCATTTTGAAATATATGTACATGTACATATGACATATTTGATTTCTCAGTGTACCACTAGAAGAAAGCCCACGCAGCACAGTTTGAGAACCACTGCTTTAGATTGTGCTGTATTCACAGATCATATCTGCATTGCTTGTACTGCCTTTATTTTGATTTTAATTGAGAGAAAATGTATTAAAGTCATCGAAACAGCAAAAAAGAAAAAAAATCATTATTGTAATGAGAATTTAAATATTATTATCATCAGCATAATGCTCCATTCTCCTTTTATAATATTTTCCTTCACACAAGATCAGCTGAAATTTATAGACAATCATTTTAATAAATCCAGATGCGAGTGTGTTTTTGGGTGTTCACTGAGGTTGGAGATATTTAAAATCATTACAGTAGAACTGGTGAGTGATTTTCTTTAACATCACTATACAGCATGCATTAAGGCTCACATCATGCTTGTCTTGTGCTTTATTTTTTTTGCATGAATGCATACATGACTATTTGACATGCATAAATGTGTATCTTTCAGCTGAAGTCTCCGGGATCAGGTCGTGCTGGTGTATGTGTCTACAGTCATGTGAGGTGAGTATCAGACTGCTGGAGAAATTACTGACGTCTGATGTCACGTCCAGATGTTAAACACATTGGAGAATGAATGACAGTGTGTCTGTGTGTGTGTGTGTTTGGCCTCCTGCCACAAATCCCTCCAGGGCATTCGAATGCATTACAGCCCCAGACCTCCACACACACATTCATAATCTGATATCTCAATAGGGTTGCACACTAATACGCATGCTGCTCAAGTATTGTTGTTAAACCCCTAAACACTTACTGTTGAACTTAAGTGTGTAACTCATCATGCAGCAACCGGCTGAAACACCCTAGCGACCACATAACAACTCAATAAAAACAACAACACAGCAGGAAGGCTGCATCCTGAACATCTACTCACTGCACACCAAAGGCTTGGCAACCGTCCACAACACTGAGCAAACGTGCTGCAGCATCATAAATACACTCAGATCTGCAGAACCTGGCAACCAGCCACAGCATGCTGGTGACCACATGACTGTGTGCTCAAACACCTTAACACATTAGCAACTGCATAATAGCATGCCAAAAACAGTCCTACCACACCATAACAACACTTAGCAATCACTAACAGCACCCGAGCAACATCCTAGCAGTCACCCAAAAAAAAGCTTAGTAACAGCGTAGCAAACCTAGCAACACCTTAGCGGCTTCCAAGAACACCTCTAATGGCATAGCAATGCCCTAGCAGCACAGCGGTTAATTTTAGTAACAGCATACTAATACCATGGCAATGACTCAACAACACCCTTAATAGTGGTATAGCAACACCTTAGCAACCACTCAACAACACCCAAGAAGTCTGGCACAACACCTTAGTAATGTTATAGCAACATCCTAGCAACCACTCAACAACACACAAAAAGACACACACACACTTTGTAATGGCATAGCAACACCCTAGCAACCATTTATCAACCCATAACAACACCAGAGCATCTTAGTAACAGTATGCAACTTCCTAGCAACCATTTATAACACCTGAACAGTCAGCCACAACACATAGCAACACGCTAGCAACAACTTAACAACGCCCAGACATGTAAGTAATACCATAGCAATATCCTAGCAACCATTCACAACCCCTGTGCAGTGACCCACAACACCTTAATGGCACACCAATACCCTAGCAACAACAACCCTAACAACACCCATACATCTAAATAACACCGTGGCAGCAGCAGTCACCCAAAACACCTTAGTAATGGCATAGCAATACCCTAGTAACCACGTAACAACACCCTGACATCTAAGTAACATCCTAGCAACCATTTACAACTCCTGAGTAGTTAGCCACAACACCTTAATGGCATAGCAATACCCTAGCAACAACTTAACAACACTCGGACATCTAAGTAACACCATGGCAGCAGCAGTCACCCAAAACACCTTAGTAATGGCATAGCAATACCCTAGTAACCACATAACAACAACCTGACATCTAAGTAATATCATAGCAACCATTGACAACAACTGAGTAGTTAGCCACAACACCTTAATGGCATAGCAAATACCCTAGCAACAACTTAACATCACCTGGACATCTAAGTAACAGTATAGCAACATCCTAGCAACCATTCAAAACACCTGAGTAGTTAGCCACAGCACCTTAATGGCAAAGCAATACCCTAGCAACAACTTAACAACACCCGGACATGTAAGTAACACCATGGTAGCAGCAGTCACCCAAAACACCTTAGTAATGGCATGGCAATAACCTAGTAACCACATAACAGCAACCTGACATCTAAGTAACATCATAGCAACCATTCACAACACCTGAGTAGTTAGCCACAGCACCTTAATGGCAAAACAATACCCTAGCAACCACTTAACAACACCCGGAGATCTAAATAACACCATAGCAACATCCTAGCAGCCATTTACAACACCTGAGTAGTTAGCCACAACACCTTAATGACATAGCAATACCCTAGCAACCACTTAACTTCAACAGGACATCTAAGTAACAGCATAGCAACATCCTAGCAACCATTCAAAACACCTGAGCAGTCACCCACAACACCTTAATGGCATTTCAATACCCTAGCAACCACTTAACAACACCTGGACATCTAAGTAACAGTAGCAACCTTAGTAATGGCATAGAAATACCCTAGCAACCACTTAACACTTATTTATCTTATTAACTGCACTGCGGCTCAAGGTGTCATTGTGTTACGTATAGACAACCGCCACTTATTTAGATATTATTTTTGCGTCCTCATGCTCGGTGTCAGTCATCTGTGTTCTCCGCCCTGAGCCTCAGTCAGTCTCCCGCTGGTCTCCATCTCCTGTGTGTGTGTGTGTGTTGTGTCTCAGTAAAGCGTGTTAATGTATTCTAGCTCAGCTCTGTCTCATGGGAAGATTAATAACTAATTACTACAGGTCACTCCAGCAGATGGGCCGCCAAAGTGTGTGTGTGTGTGGGCGTACGTGCGTGTGTGTGTGTGTGTGTGTGTGTGTGTGTGTGTGTGTGTGTGCCTTAAACTCTCATGAATTCATGTGTCCCATCTGAGATGTTTCACCATGTACAGGATTCTGTATCGGTGTCAGCAACAGATGGCGCACACACACACACACACACACACACACACACACACACTGTTGCAGCTCTAATGAAAAGCAGGGGCCACATTAACATTCATTCATTCATTTTCCTTCGGCTTAGTCCCTTTTTCATCAGGGGTCGCCACAGCAGAATGAACTGCCTATTACTCCATCATATGTTTTACACAGTGGAGCAACTTCTAGCTGCAACCCAGTGCTGGGAAACATCCTTACACACTTATTCACACACACACACTCATACACTACAGCCAATTTTAGTTCATCAATTCCCCTATAGCGCATGTGTTTGGACTGTGGGGCAAACTGCGCAACCAGAGGAAACCCACGTCAAGATAAAGAGAACATGCAAACTCCACAAAGAAACGTAATGTATTGAGTGATGCATTTATATATAGTGTCATGACTATTTAAATGTATGTATAAATATATATATATACACACACACATTATACAATGTCTTATGAATAGTATATACTTAGAAAAACATTTCACATTATTTATTATTTCAAAATTATAGCTTTATATTGGAAAATTCCAGCAAATTTCTTTAATAAGAATAACTGTATGAAGACAGACGGAGACAGAAAGAAAGTAAAAACATTAGGGTCTTTAAATAACATCAAATTTGGGATGTTGCTCTAAGATATAATAAACCAATATTGTTACTAGGTCACTGGTGTAAGTCTCGACTGGGTCAGTTGATGTTTCTGTGTGGAGTTTGCATGCTCTCCTCATGTTGGCGTGGGTTTCCTCTGGGTGCTCCGGTTTTCCCTCACATTCCAAACACATGCGCTATAGGGGAATTGGGCAAGCTAAATTGGCCGTAGTGTATGAGTGTGAATGTCTATGGGTGTTTCCCAGTGTTGGGTTGCAGCTGGTAGGGCATTCTCTGCGTAAAACATATGCTGGATGAGTTGGCGGTTCATTCCGCTGTGGCGACCCCTGATTAACAACGGGACTAAGCCAAAAAGAAAGTGAATGAATGAATGAATATTGTTACTGAAATAGTTTCCCAGTACTGGGTTGTGGCTGGACTGGAATTCGGTGTGTGAAACAAATGCCAGAGTAGTTGGCAGTTCATTCCACTGTCGCAACCCCTGATTAATAAAGGGACTGAATGAAAACAATATTGTTATAAAAATAGTTTCCCAGTACTAAAAGGGCATCTGTTGTGTAAAACATATGCTGCAATAGTTGTCGGTTCATCCCACTGTGGAGACTCCTGATGAATCAGAAACTAAGCTGGAAATATCATAATAGAGAGCTGATTGAATGTTGGTTTTGATTCACTATAGATCAGAATTCTCTCATCACACACACACACACACACACACACACATAGAAAGTGATTGAGATTTCTGATGGGACTCTGGTCAGTGTCTAATTGAGACATTCCAAGAGCAGCGAGCAGAACGAAGATCTGACGAACATTAACCTGCTGTCCTGTCTGAACACTGACCTGATGCTCATTCTCACCTGTGCGTGTGTGTGTGTGTGTGTGTGTGTGTTTGTGTGTGTGGAATCCCCCCCTGGCCTGCTTGATTTATGAGCCTTCAGATTTTTTTGGAAGCTTTAGTCTACAGCTGTGATTCAGATGCTGTTGGACTGAACGCACACACATACACACACACACACACACACACAGATTAGCCTGTCCTCCTCTGTTGTGGGTTTGGGACGGGAGTTTGTGATTCCTCGTTAAGTGGCCAT